CACATATTACATTAATAAATTTGATTAATAAATAATAAATTTGATTAATTGGTGCAAAAAAAAACAAAAATGATTTGATTAATTAATCAATAAAAAACAAAAAAACAAAAAAAAATAAAAAAAAAGGACATCCGCCAATATTTGGATCCTCCACGGTAAATCCGCCTAAAATTTCCGGGGGATCCACCATGGAAGATCCGGAAATTCTAGGCGGATGGGCGAATGTCCTCTTTTCAAAAAAAAAAAAAAAAATCGACGACTTACAGAAACCGACGATGCCTCTGGTGTACGATTGTTGTCTTGTCCATCGTCCTAAACCCGTCGCTAAAACTTATTAAATTTTCTTAAAAAAAAAAATTTTGGATTTTTCGTGGTGGGCTCGGGAATTTTGGGTTGGATGTGGTGGACTCGGGAATTTTTTTAAGCAAGTGGTGGACCGAATGTGCTCGGGATTAATATTAAAATGTTCGGGAATCTTTTTAACCAAGTGGTGGAGCCTTATATAGTCCAACTTATGAAAGGGCAAAATGTTCCTTTCATGTCAAAATGGGAGCAATCCCTGGTAAATTGGGAGCGACGTTTAGTAGTTCACAAAATATATCTATGTTATTCGAATTTTCAACTCATGGACTAATAACCACTTGACAATCATACTTTGTAAAATAAAAAAAATAAAAAAATATAGCATTATGACCGCTCATAAAGTTGTGGGTGGTTTTGAGAAAGAGATTAGTAGTTCTTGAAAGCGACGTAAGTAGCATGGTTAGAGAAATTGGAAGAAATCAGTTTGAAACTACTCCAATTTTCATGTTATTGGATGATATTTTTGGGATAAGTTGTGATTTTAATGTCTTAATTGTACTCTGGTTTGATAAACTGTAATAATGTGCCTATATCCACTTTTTATCCTAAAAAATCTATCCAAATCTAATATCATATCATATCACTAATATATAAAGCCGGTCCGCAGCCTGGTCATAAAGCAGTGACACTTGGCATTCCAGTTTTTCGCCAAGTGTCGTGCCACGTAGGCGAAAAATAGGTTTTATTGTGACATATATGATATTAAGTAAGTGATTTTTTATTGGATAGATTTTTTAAGATAAAATTTTTGTATAGAGTTTAGTTATCGATAGAATTCTAATATTTCATATATACAAAATTAATCATAACTTTTAATAAATATCATATAACTCTGTTCTATTTCCATCATCAAATTCGTTTAATTCTAAAAAGTTCCTTACAATAAGATTCATTTATAATATATTTAGTCACAAACTTTTATACATAGCTGGCCAAACCGTGTCACCAACTATTACAAGAGTTACTTCGTTAGTGATATAAAGGTTACTTGGTCAGTGTTATAGCGGTTACTCAATCACTGTTATAGATAGGGGTTATTTGGTCAGTGTTAGAGATTACTCAGTTTGTATTACAAGGTTACTCGGTTAGTTTTATAGGTATTACTTTATCCGCCTAAATGGTGTAGCTAGCCACATACAAAATGCATTGTTATTTAACTTATTTAAGAAAATATTAAAGATCGGTAAAAAAAATAAGTTTTAATCGGTAAAAAATAATTTTAGTTTGGTGAAAATACTTTCAATTCAGTGAAAATAATTGAAGTTCAATAAATATAATTTCAAGTTAATAATAATATAGTGATATGATATTTACAAACAAAAATACAAAAAGTACACTATATATAAATATAAGCCATATGATATCATATATCTAAATATCTTACATTATCAGAACGAATTATTTGACCGTAATTAACATTCAAGTAAAAATACAAAAAGTGATATGATATGATATTAGATTCTTACAATTACTAGTCCCATGTACATGATTCTCATAAATTTTATCTAAGCTAGCCTGTGTTGGCTAGATTGACTGTTCTTAGTTGCAATTTTATTTTATTTTTTTTTACTTTTTTTTTGAATAGTTGTTTGTTTCTTAGTTCTTACCAGTGGTTTTAAACTTATAATATACAAAGGGTTGTTTATTTTTTTATTTATTTATTTATTTATTTTTTGAACTTTAACATTTAGAAACTACTACTTTGTACGTAGTATATCTTTTGGTGTTGATTATAATTAGGTATTATAGATATGAATTGTATATTGGAGATAATATCAAGGAAGTATTTTGATATTATCTTCCTTGCATATCAGTATATCACTCCGGTATTAAACTACCGCATATCATATCTTTTGATCATGCAAATATTTTGTGATTTTCTAATATTGTACTCCATATTATCTTTTCTTCCTAAGATAATTTCATGTATAAAAATACGTATAATAATGTTTGAGAAAAAAAAAAAACAATGTATGCTTCCCGAGAAAATATTATTATGAACTCCGTACGAAAAAAAGTTAATGCTTGAAAGACCAACCTACTCATTAGCCGTGTTTGAAGCAACACAAAGGATTTCTTTTCCAGCCTCTTTTGATCTTTTCCCTCTGAGTAAGTTCCAAAGACTTTCCATTTTTCCAAGTCAAGTTTTTAGACATAAAATAAGGTCCATTTCTCAAAAGGGCTATAAGCCTATAATATATTAATATTAAACTTACTAAGTTTAAATTAGTAGGGTGCAAATTTATATACCAAAGAAATTACATATATAAAAAATAAAAAAAAAGTTAATCTTTTCAAAGATTATCCTAGTTTATCGGGATAAAATCATAAAATATAGATAAAAATGCATACTACTATAATTATCAAAATTTAAGGCTTTACATGGAAGGAATGGTTGGGAAGTTACGAATTTACGATCTAGCATTGTCAGGAAGGCGAATAGAGTAGCATATTGGCTCGCTAACTATGGAGTTTCTTTGGAACAAAAGATGGTCATCTTTAAGGCGATCCCGAAGGATTTTGGGGCCGTTTAATTGAAGGACCTAAGTGGTATGGCGCTTCCTAGGCAAGTGTCGAAGAATAATGCTTAAGCTAGTTTGCTTTTGCTAGTAGTGTAGTTGTCTTTTATTATGTTTGTTTGTTTGTTTTTTTTTCGTTGTTTTTTCTTTTTAGTTCCTAGCTTGTTCTTCTTTTGGGGCTTGCCCCTCGTGCTTACAAAAAAAAAAAATCAAAATTTTGGTGAAATTGGTTGGATCCCCATCATTTCACCAAGGGAAAATAAATTTCTCGCCAAGTGAATGACAACTCTACCATAGAGAGGTGAACAAGCAGCTATTCTCATAATGTATTGAAGCATATATAGCTTTTCAAAAATAGGGCTTATTTTAATCCTTTTATTGGCATATGAGTTTTACGGGGCGTTTGGTAAGTGGGAATGAGAATTGGGAGAATAAAGAGTGAGAATGAGATTGGGAGTTAGTGGTTGGGGATTGGTAAAATACTAAAATATGCCAATTACCTTATTTGGTAGTAAAATGCGAATGTGTAGGAAATAAATAACAAATTTACTAAAATACCCTTACTAATATTTCTTTCACACCCCTTTTCATTAATGGCAATCATTTTATCCATCTTCCAATTCCCATCCCTTAATACCACCCCTAGGCCTCTACTAGGTATTATTTTCATGGAAATTCAAGCCTTTTATTTCCAATTTCATTCCCTTCTCACAATCTCATTCCCATCAAACAAACATGAAATTTTATGATAAATGGGATTTAAATTCTCATTCCCATCTTCTATTCCCACTGACCAAACACCCCCTTAAAGTGAATGGATTGCGACGTCCCAAACAACTAACAAATGATATAGAACTACAACGTATACTTATGCTAAAACTTAAAAACTCTATATACTTCCTACAAAAAAAGATTTAATAATACGAAACAAGGTTATAGAAAATGCTCAGAAGACCACCTACTCCATTAGCCACGTAATAATACGAAACAAGGTTATAGAAAATGCTCAGAAGACCACCTACTCCATTAGCCACGTAATAATACGAAACAAGGTTATAGAAAATGCTCAAAAGACCACCTACTCCATTAGCCACGTAGTAATACGAAACAAGATTATAGAAAATGCTCAGAAGACCACCTACTCCATTAGCCACGTAATAATACGAAACAAGGTTATAGAAAATGCTCAGAAGACCGCCTACTCCATTAGCCACGTAGTAATACGACACAAGGTTATAGAAAATGCTTAGAAGACCTCCTACTCCATTAGCCAAGTAATAATACGAAACAAGGTTATAGAAAATGCTCAGAAGACCACCTACTCCATTAGGGTTCTTTTTTCAGCCTCTTTGGGTCCTTAAATTACGCATTAGTTCATCACTTTTGTTATGCAACTTTCTCTACAACAATATCATTGCTCTCTAAAAAGAAGAGCAAACATATAAACTCCGTGTTTTCTTTTATTCTCTGATTAGTTTCCAAAGACTTTCCTAGTCAAGTTTTTATGCATAAAATAAGGTCTAGTGATATTCAAAAGGGCTATAAAACCAAACGTCTTACGAAGTTTAAAACGACGGTAAAAAAATAAGACAAAGAATTATTTTTAAAGAAATCTATACAAAAAAAGTTTTCCAAAAATGGCATCCATGAATATACATGGAGGTGGTGATGGTACTTGTGCTCTTATTGATGTTGAACTGTACCGTCTATTAGTCGCTGGAGATGTTGAAGGGTTTAACAGAGTCGTTTCGAGTAGGCAAGTTGATGTTCTAGAGCTTCGATGTGCAAGTGACAAGAACACTGTCCTTCACATTGCTTCCAGCTCTGGAAAGGTAGAGTTGGTCAATGACATTCATATACAATGGCCAGAGTTAATGGTCCATGGAAATTCTAAAGGAGATCTCCCTATTCACTCTGCACTCAAGACTGGTATAATAAACATCGCTGTTGTCGATGCCCTGATTAGCTGGCTGCATCTGCAGCAGGCAACAGGCAACATTGTTACAGTTCGTCGAGTATAAGAGCGGAAAAATGTTGAAGGGAATACTGCTCTTCACATCGCCTTGCAATTATCTGATGAAGAGCAGCGGATAAGGCTAGCAAGCGAGTTGGTTGACTTGTATCCTCCTGCATCCTATGCTATGAATAATGAGGGGATTTGTCCTTTGTACCTGACTATTAAAAACGAGCATGAAGGCATTGTCCAACACATGCTACAGAAGTTGCACCCATTCAAACAAGATTCACTTAGCTATTTGACGGAAGGTCAGCCGATACTACATGTTGCTGTTTCTGCCCGGGGGACAGGTATGTACACCAAGTCACACATCCAATATTTCCCTCTCCCCTCTCCCCTCTCATATCAAATACATTAATGGTCAAAGACAAATTTTTAAAAACTAACCAAAAAGTAAAAAAAAAAAAATTAGCAAAATTTGATGCAGTTGGTAGAATTTACCATATAACTTATCGCCACAACCCTTAACCAGCCTAAAGTGGGACATGGACGATCAGGGCCTCAAGACCCTCAAGTCTAAAGGGGCCTCAAATTCGGAAAAAATGGGTTAATAACTTATTTTAAAAAATATTTAATAATTGAAAAGGTAGAACTAACAACTACTCGTAACAAGCTGCATATGTAGCATGAGGGTTCCATTTGTCAGTTTCCACTTCCACTTCTCCAAATTCCATGATAATATCAACATTAGATTTTATTCTTTTTTTATTTTCCCAACAAATACATCAGGCCGGTTATTAAATACCACCGGTTTCTTACAACAATTCTTTTTTAGTTATCTCCCTGCAAAGGCGCCCCCGTTCCATTACTCACTGTGGGAAACGTTTTTTTTTCTCACAGTGACAGTTTCGTAAATAAAATGTACTAGTTTAGTTATGATGGTACATTTTATTTACGAAATGGATGATAAAATTATACCACTTTAGTTACGGTGGTACATTTTATTTACGAAACTGCCACTATGAGAAACAAAAACGTTTTCTCACAGTGAGTAACAGAGATTTACTGCTTTAATAATACTCTATTTGCTTTGTGATTTTTTTTTCGCTTTACTCTTTTATTTTTGAATCCAAAACACTTGCTTCCTTCGTTCCAATAATATTGTAATAATAGACTTTCTACTATTCATCACTTACTCTTCCTCCATTTTCTTAAAAGCCAATTTATGATTTAAAAAAATAAATAAAAACAAAACATAAGAAACAAGAAAAAGGTGTTTTCACTTTTTTGTTGACAGTTTTCATAATCATCATGGTTTTAATAAAATTTGACCAATATATGACTCATTATATGTCATATACTTTGTATATCATATGATTTTGAAAAACAAAAAAAAAATAAAAAAATACAGCGATACCAAATGAGCTTTAGAAAAAAGTTGTTTTCACTATTTTTATAATCATTTTTCAAAATTATTATCATGATTATAATAAGTTTGACTTTTTTTTTTTTTTGCTTTATTCAATGACATATATCATATGATTTTAAGAAAATTTGTGTTTCAAAAAAAAAAACCATATGATTTTAAGAAACAAAAAATCAAAAACAGAAAATTACACAATATATACCAAACAACATTTAGTTTGCAATATTTCATATTTTTATAATTTTTGTTAATTAGACGAATTTTGTATCCCATTACTATATTTATGGATACGCCACGGTCAATAAGGGACATGACAACGCGCCTAACTTCCTATGAATATAAGCTTGGGTTTAAAACTTTATTTTTTTTTAAATTGGACTAATTTGATTATCATCATTGAGTTGAACTTATATATACTTGATTTATTTTTGAGCTGAGCGTTCTCGGGAAAAAATACTTTTAACCTTTCCTTTCATTGCTTATGAAGATCAATATCACCTATCAGTTAAATATTTTTGGGTTTATTTAATCACAAAATTACAAAATAAAAGATTTATCTCATCAAAATATGCATTAGGAAAGCTGATGCCTTGTATGATAGGATAACAACATGAGGTTGGCCTTCCTATATCTTTTTACGTCATTTCGCGTGTGTCTGAAGGGCCTACGTTACTAGTTGCTTCACACGTTATCATATATATTTTGCAAAATATCAATTAGATTTGTACATCAATTGCAGAAATGTTGGAGAATTTGCTTAGTTATGACGATGAAAAGCTTATCAATGTAGTGGACAAAGAAGGCCGAACAGCCCTATCAGAAGCAGCATTTCAGGGTTATTTGGACAAAGTTCAAATTTTTCATACAAGAGTTCTACATACAGCCTTAATGAGCAACACAGATAAATCCTTTCCAATTCACCAGGCTGTGCTTGGAGGCCATATTAATATTATCAAAATATTAATAAGCACGAGGTTCTTTCTTGATGCAAGAGGCCAAAATATTCTACATTTGGCAACATCGAAGGGTGACCCAAAATTGGTCTCTTGTGTGCTTAGTTTACCAGATGTAGATTCCTTAATCAATCAAATCGACAATGATGGCAACACTCCTCTGCATCTAGCTACCCTTGCTAAGCACATTGAGGTGGTTGAAATTCTCATCCAAGACGAAGGAGTCAATGTTGGATTATTAAATAAGGAAGGGTTGATGGCATACGATTTGGCCAAAAAACTAGTGGGTGTAGATGATGCAGATAAAGATCAAGTTCAGAAACTACATTTGATGCTAGAAAGAGCTACCTATGAAAAATTGTTTCCCATTGATGAAAAATTGTATCTACACTTGTTTAATCAAGAGATATATCGAGTTTTACAAATGGTTTCAGTAAGAAGGCTGCGACTCAAGGATCTTCTTGACATAGAAGATGGAAGCAATGTTCTTCATGTTGCAGCTTGGATGAATCAGCCCTTGGTGATAGTTGATCTCCTTGTTGGCTACAATTGTACTACCCTCATGTACCAAGCTAATAAGAAGGGCGACCTTCCAATTCATTCAGCTGTTAAGGTTGGCAAGTTGGGATCCATTCAAGCTCTTTTGGAAAGGTCAAACATACCTGCAAATCTTGTATGTGAAAGGCCTAATATGGATGGAAACACAGCATTGCATATTGCGCTGCTAAATAACCAGAGGAAAATTGCTGAATATTTGTACAATCAATGTCCACAAGCAGCGTATTGCTTAAACAAAGACAAGATTTGTCCTTTGTTTCTATTTATTAAGAAATGGAGTTATAGTGAGAACAAATTGATCACTAGTATGATCCAAGGAATTAAAGACAATGTGCGACTTCAAAATCATATGAAGGGCGCAAAATCAATAGTGCACGTAGCAATTCTTGCAAGAAACACAGGTAATTAAGTGTTTGATTTTCATTTTTTTTTACAAGCACCTCTATTATGTTTCTTTAGTTAACTGAACCATAATTAAATGAAAATGAGAGTTACACTACTTAGAAGCACAAATGAGCTGAAGTTTGATTTTTATGGTTGCATTGTTAATTAAAGGGAAGAAATAACTCCACAATTTTCAAAATTCAGAGCAAGTACTTAGACTCTAAGTGCAAGGAATACTTATATTACTACCCCTCAAATATGTGGATTTTTCATTACACTTAGCTTTTCACTTCAATGCTAGCCTAAACACTTGAACCTTATAAACAACATGCATGATTATAGAAGAAAATGTTTTGATAGCATGAAGGAAAAGAATATGAAACCTCCTGAACACATAAATACTGCAACCTTGTACTGTATTTGTGATATATGCTCACAAATTGGCTTCAGATAACCAGTTCAACAAGAATTAAGTCATTCTAAAATGTATATATAGCACAATGTGGTCCTATGATTGTTTAATGTTTAGAAAGTAAAGTGTATGGCCATAAATATCATTGCATGGTAGTCTCATATACAATGATAAATATTAGTTTATTATTGATGCAGCTATCTTGGAAAGAATAATCGACACGGCTCCAGGTCTTTTGGATTCACTTGACAGTGAAGGGAGAAGTCCTCTTTCTTATGCAGCACTTAGGGGCCATGTTGAGGGGGTTAAACTACTACTGGAAAAATGTCCTAGTTTTGAATTTTAGCGTGATAAAGATGAGCACGGATCCTTTCCGATTCACCACGCTGCGAAAGGGGGTTTTGTCAAGGTCATTAAACTGTTTCGCCACATGCATTTGCTCAATAACAAGGGCCAAATGATCCTTCATGTAGCTGCTTCCAATGGCGGGATCGCACTCATTTCATATGTGCTTAAACAGCCAGAGTTTAAGCAATTGATAAATACAGCTGATGACGATGGCAACACTCCACTACATTTGGCTGTTAAAGGTTTTCATCTTATGGCTGTATTTCTTTTGCATTGTATAGGGTATGATGCACACATCAACATCAGTTTAAAAAATAAAGAATTGCTAACAATTCGAGATATATTTCTAATGCATAAGAAATATCAAGATGAAAATGGGCTCTCTTCCATACAGGTATCGATCTCTTCCTTTATAAGAAATATAAAATGATTGTTAATTTGTTATCTACTTTATATATGACCTCTAATCTTAAGAGAGTGAGCCCCAGTTTCTCTTCATGAGAAACACTTTTGTTTCTCATAATGGCATTTTGGAAAATAATGTGATGTTTTTCACTGGTAGAGACCGCCTGTCAATTTTGGGTGGACCTCTCATATCTTGACACATACTCTATGAGAAACAAAATTTGTTAATCAATAGGAGAAACAAGCAATTACCCATCTTAAGAAGACTAATAATCTTCAATGGGCACCTTCTTGGATCTCTATCTACCTCCGTTTCACATTTTTTACAACTTTTGACAAAGACGTCCGCTACACCTTTTTTTTAACTTTTCAAAATATTCCATTTTAGTAAAGTTTTTAAAATGATAATACTGAAACACCCTTACTAAAATTTTCATAAGCTCAATTAGTTACTTACAAAAATTTTAATAAAACACTAATCTAACTAAATTAATCTAATTATTTCCTCCCAAATCCAATTCATTTCCCCCAATTAACCAATTCAATTACCAAACATTCAACCCTCATAAGATCTTTCCAAAATTCAAACCCAATTTTTTAACTTCTTCTTCAATTTCTTAGTTTTTTTCTCTATCCTACAATCCGACTCTCTCTCTCTCTCTCTCCCGGCCACGAAGACAAACCACCAGGGTGGCGGAGATCTACGCGTGGATGACAAAGACGGAATGTTCGCGTTATATGACGGTGGTTGAACCCCCATTTACGATTGAATGGCGAGGCGGGTTGGTGGGTTTTTCGATAAGGTGGTAGATGGGTAAGTAGTTTTAGAGGGTGTAGTAAGTGTGTTGGGTTCAATTTATGTGGGGTGTTATGGAGTGTTTGGTGTGGTTGTTGTGGGGGTAGTTTTAGGTTTTGGGTGGTATGGTTGCGGCGGGGTTGATATATCTGATGGTTTCGGGTTTGTACTATGCTGGTGTGTGGTGGCTACGAGATGGGTTTTAGGTTTTGGGTGTGTGGTGACTACAAGGTGATGAGTGTGTGGTGGTTGGGCGGTGCTTATAAGGCTAGTGTTGGTGACTTGTATGGTTGGTGCTGCAAAGTGGTGGTGAGTCAAGGTGGTGGCCTGTGTGGCGGGTGTTATGGAGGGTGGTTAATTAGTCGTGGTTGCTACAATTGCTTCAACATGGTATATCCCCATTTTCTTTCTTCTTCCTTAATCACATGCCCTCCCCCTCTTTTCTTAATCTCCATTTATCACTTTTTGCCTAGGAGTCCGTGTCGACTAGGGGTGTTTAAAAAAACCCAACCCTGTTGTCCCGTCCCGATTACCCGATGACCTACAAAAACCTGATGGACAATTGACAAATTTTTCTACTTTTTTCGGGTTGGGTACCCGTAAAATAGCAGTTTCGTAGGCCTGGACATGAGACAAACTTTGCTAATCTTGGATACCCGGATACCCTTTAAAAAAATAAAATAAAAAATTTGTTACTCCATAACCACTTAACCAGCCCAGCCCACTTAGACCTAGGGTTCCAATAACTCCCAAAAAAGAAAAAAAAGGAGCAGTCAGACTTCTTCTTCCTCCCTCCCCTCCTTGGCCACCATCCTCATCCCCTACCACCTCCCTGCCTCCCATCTCTCGTTGCCGCACCTTTTAAAACACCACACAGCACCATGACCACACCCCACAACAGCAATAACAGCAAATAACAATTACCGCCCCAGCCTGCACACCTCATCAACCCCCTCACATCTATCAACTCCTCGCACCGAACCACCGAGCCACATCACACCACAATGCAACAACCTATAGCCGCCCAACCTCCGGCAGCCCACACATCACCAATTGCTCCACCAATTCGCCACAATCAACGCTGGCCACTTCCCAGCTCACCTTAAAACCATCACCAATTCGATTTTTACCAATTAACACTGTCGTTCACCCTAATCTCCCTTTGCAATCAACAATTCAGTCACCAACAATTGTAATTTCGACCACAATGGCAGCTGCTAACATCAATTTAACACCCTAATTGAAGACCCAGATGGTGCGATCATGGAGTGCGCTCATGAGAACGGTGACAAACCCACAAAAATTTGATCCATTAATTCTGAAATTGATCTTTCTGTGTTGTAATAAATCATTCTCAAATATGCAAGTCACTGACCTATTACAGCTGGTTTAGCTTGTGGTTTTAGGTACAAACTTATTTGAAAAAAATAAATAAATAGAATCCGGGAATCCGTGTCCCGTCTCAGATAATTCGGGTGCCCGAATATCGGGTACCCGAATTATCCGGGATATGACACGGGCCGACTTATCAACTACCCAAAGATCCAAGTACTCGGATTTTCGGGTACCCAGATCTGAACACCCCTAGTGTAATGCCCTGGGTCATTATAAATTTATAACTTTGATCAAAATTAATTAAAAAGGGTTAATGTTGAACAATATTAATTAGTGAATGAAAATTTAATAATTTATATTATATTGCATAAATATACATTAGATGTATCAAATGTATAACTATATACTAGAGATGAATTAAAAAAACACGTGTCAATTTCTAGTTAAAATCTTTCCCACCATTTATAACCATTACAGTGATTAATTTCTACCAAATTAGATTGTAGATTATTGTGTAATTTCCAGGAGAGATTTAAATAGTAGATTATATATATGATGAAGAGTTTTTTTTAAGTAAATTAAACGAACATTATTGTAAAGAATTAAAGTTATATCAATGAAAGAGACTAAATATTACTACAATTCAATGTGGTGAGAGAAGGGTGATGACACATAATGCACATGTGACACTTATATTATCTTATCTGAACTTATTAGACCTTATTAAAACTTATTTTAATTGTGATTTATACTTTGATAACCTTTATCAAAACTTATTTTTTCAGAATTAAACTTATCTGAACTTATTACACGTGAAATAAGTGAAAAGAACAAGCCGTAAATCATATTGAAAAAAGGGTGACGCATGGTGTTAGCATATTGTCCCTATACATTTAAATATATTATAGATTCTATTAGTCCACATATATACTATAAATGGTGTCTAGCAAGACATTATGATCACTTAATATTTGACAATATAGTTAACATATTCTATTTCATCTTCCAGATCCTTATTATGGAAGTCTTGTTAAATAACCCTATCATTTATTTGAGAGATAGACTATATAACTTAAAGGACAAAGAAAAATTGATGGAAATGGAGGCAGCAAAATTATATGTAACTGAGAACAAAGGTCCATCGTTCAAGGAGTCAACCAACATGGATAGAGCCAACATTCTTTTTGTGGTAGCAACACTCATCATTACTGTTACTTTTGCTGCGGCATTCAGCCCTCCTGGGGGTTATGACGAAAAGACTGGCTTGCCAAATCTGATATTGTGTAAAAAGTTCTTAGATTTTGTTTCCTACCACAGTTCGGCGCTTATTTGTGGATTAGCTACTGCTATTATCCTCATTATGGGAATGAATTTGAAAGGGTATGCAGAACATAACCTTTTTTGGGGAGGATATTATATCCTAGCTGGGCTCCTTTGTATGTGGCTGGATTCGGCAACGTGTTAATGTTATATACAGTCAAGAAACAACCGCAATTGAAGTTTATGGAGGTTGAGAAGGTAATAACGGATGATAACAAGATAATTTCATCTGTTTTCTTACTTGTATCTATTCCGACAGTTTTATGGGCTTCTCCAACGTTTAAGGCCTTACTTTTGCTTTGGCTTATGTTAGCATCTATATTGTATTTAAAGGTGGGATTTCGGTCTGGCAGTTTGGTTTGACCTCGGTTTGAGTCGGTTTCGGTTTGGAGCAGTTCGGATTGAAACGGTTTTTTTAGCTGACGCGTCGGTTTGGTTTAGTCATGGCTCGGTTAGGTTTCGGTTTATTTCTTTACGGTTTAAATTCGGTTTGGGTCATAAGCGGGTTGGTTTATAAACGATTCGGATCATGCCGGTTCGGTTTGATACGGGTCGGTTTAGGGGGCGGGTTTACCCGGGCCAATGTCAGTTCGGTTTACAAACGGTTTGGATCAAGCCGGTTTGGTTTGAAATGGGTCGGTTTAGGGGCGGGTTTACCCGGGTCAATATCGGTTCGGTTTATAAACGGTGTGAATCATGTCGGTTCAGTTTGAAATGGGCCGGTTTAGTGGAGGGTTTACACAGTTCAATTGGTTCGGTTTATGAACGGTTTGGATCATGCCGGTTCGGTTTATAAGCGGTTTGGGTCATGAATTCATGATTGTTTTAAAGATCGCATCATGACCATGATTTAATGAGTTGATACTTAGAATACGATAAATCGATAATTAAGATAGTACAAGTATTCAATTAGATCGATCAACAAGTGTTTTAAACTTTTAAGTTTTAATAATCAGATATGTTTATCGATTATACGTATATACCAATGATTCAATGAGGCAATGATAGTATGATAATGATACCAACTGTACATTCGTACGATATGATATACATAATAATTAATACATAATTACATATACATCAACAATATCGTATTGAATCAATTTCCATTTCCAAACATTGCATTTCTTATAAATTATAAGTTACACGAGATTAAATGGATTCGTTATTTAGTTTGTTACTTTATTTAGATTACTAACTCAAACAACTTGATAATTTAAATGGACGAAATCACGAAATCACTAAAGGGATGATGAAATCATATGCAATACTAATGTACAAATAGTCCAATATACAACGGTTAGATTGAATGCCCATGAAAAACAATGGTTAGATTTCATTACTTTATTAGTTTTAAGTATTATTACTTATTAAGTTATTAGTTTATTACATATACAGTCACAGACTCACAGATATATATAATATACATATAGAGATGTCAGATATTGATGTACATTAAGTCATTAACTATGTCGTATTGAATCAATTTCAATTTTGAAACATTTGCGTTTCTTACAATATATAACTTATAAGTAATAAACTAATAATAATAATAATAATAATAATAATAATAATAATAATTATTATTATTATTATTATTATTAGTATATTATTATTATTATTATTATTATTATTATTATAGTAATAATAATAATAATTATAATAATAATAGTAGTAGTAAACTAGTAATAATAATAATAATATTAATAATAATAACAATAATAATAATAATAACAACAACAACAACAACAACAATAATAATAATAATAATAATAATAATAATAATAATAATAATCCCTCAAAATAATAATAATAATAAATAATTAAAAAAAAAAGAAACGGTCAAAAAGACCTCAAAAAGCACAAAAAAAAAACTAGACCGTTAGATCTAGAAGAACATTGTGGAATCTAGATCCTTTATTGCTACAAAAAAAAAAATGAATGGTGACATGCTGAGATTGAATATGAACGGTTAGATCAACTGAACAAGTAAAACCTAAACCTAGAAAAAACAACCCATTATGAGCTATCTCTATCAGCCGTTTACTTGCATAATTAGTCAATTACACTTACTCACTCTAGAATTCTCAATCTCTCATATTTTCTCTCTCTAAGTTCTCAGTTTCTCACTCTTTCGTTCTTAAATTCTCAAGAATCTCAACTCTCAACTTTTAAAAACCCTAATTAGGGTTTTTGTTTTCGTTTCATTTGTGTTTTGGATCTAAAGTTCTGATTTCTGGCTTTTCCATTCTCGTTTTTTTTTTCAAATCTTCCCCTCCTTCAAGCCGTCAAACCTCACGGTAATTTTTTGTTAATTTTTGTTGTTTTCGTTTTGATTTTTTTCGTTTTTGTTTCGGTTTGTTTATTTAGGGTTTTTGTTTTCATTTCATTTTTGTTTTGAATCTAAAGTTCTGATTTCTGACTTTTTCATTCTCGTTTTTTTTTTTTCAAATCTTCCTCTCCTTCAAGCCGTCAAACCTCAAGGTAATTTATTGTTAATTTTTGTTGTTTTCGTTTTGATTTTTTCGTTTTCGTTTCGGTTTGTTTATTTAGGGTTTTTGTTTTCGTTTCATTTTTGTTTTGGATCTAAAGTTCTGATTTTTTACTTATCCATTCTCGTTTTTTTTTCGAATCTTCCTATCCTTCAAGCCGTCAAACCTCAAGGTAATTATTTGTTAATTTTTGTTGTTTTCGTTTTGATTTTTTTCGTTTTCGTTTCGGTTTTTTTTTTTATTTCAAGTTTATTCAGATTATTTGATTATTGTTGTTGTTCTTGCTTCAATATAGTCGAAATATGCCTAAATTTGAAATTTTAATTTCTGTTGTTGATTCTATTTTTTTTACGGGAAAATGGTAGATCTGTGTTGTTTTGTTGTTTATTATGCTCGATTTAAAAGTAATGATGATTGATTGTTCAGATTATTTGATTATTGTTGTTGTTTTTGCTTCAATATAGTCGAAATATGCCTAAAATTTGTATTGTTAATTTCTGTTATTCAAAACAATTTCTAAATTTCTCAAATATAGGTGTAGAAGGGGGCGAAAATAATTTTTCTTCATTTAAATAAGTTTAGTCATCTGATTAAAGGGGGAAAATTCAAAACATTCATTTTAATTGGTATAAGAAAGGAATGTCACATTATTTCTCCTTTACCCCATTTTAAAATTTAAATCATTAACAACTAAATTTGGGTATATATGCATATGCATGGTCTATTTTATGAGGACAGACATAGTCAGATTACTTACAAAGTTCAAATGAGATTTAATCCCTAAAATCAAATATCAAATGTCAATTACTTACTAGTTTAATACTTCTTTGTCATAATAAACTTATTGTTTAGAAAAACCTCTACAAGAATATATTGTTAATTATTGTACTTCGTATTAAATAGGAGTTATAAAGGATTGAGTGTACCCTGTCAAGAAGAGTAGTACCAACAATTATTAATAAAAAATATAAATAAAAAGAAGAGATTACGCGTGAGTCGTGACTTGGAAATCACATATTCGAATTAGTAAAGGCTCTCTTAGGGATGAATTCTCTTACCCTTCCTTCGTCCTTAAGGTACATACAAAGTAAGATTTAACTAGCTCACCTCAAATAATAAAACTCTATATCAGAATTGTTTTATTACCACCTTCAAAAAAAATCTAATAAATATAAAGTGTGTATGATTAGAGAACAAAATTCTTTATAAAGAGTTGGAGATAGCACGAGTGCTTTAATTTGTTCTCACATAAATGGAAGAGTGTTGCCAATTTGTACTCGATCTCTGTTTTTATTATCTACTTATACAAGCAAGCTACTTATAAATGCTGTTTGTTTTTTTAGTCATGTCTCTCGAGTATGATGAATTTGTTTATGAGAGGCAATCAAATTTTGATACTGTAAGCTCTCGAGCTGGTTCTGGCCCGGTTGATGATGCTCATAATACCAGCATTATCACTACTCTTGTTAATAAAAGTCAAATAACCTCAGGTATATGGAAGCATTACACATTTTTTTCTTAAAGACGGTAGGTAATGAAAAGGTAGAATATGCTCGTTGTAATTTGTGTGGCAAAGAATATAAAGCACCTGGTAAAGCAGGTACTTCAACTTGTAGAGCTCATATTAATGCATGTTTGGAAAAGCATGGTCTCCAGCACGGTGAAGAATCACCATTTGATCAAAAAACTTATTTACAAAAGTTTGCTAAAGCTATAATCTGCCATGCATATCCTTTAAATATTGTAGAGCATGAATATCTTAGGGAACTTCATGCATATTTGAATCCTAAGGTGCAGCATGTTTGTAGAAAAACTATGTTAAAGTATTGTATTGCTGAGCATGATAAATATAAATCCTTGTTGCATGAGTCTTTGGCTAATGTTTCTGGTAAAGTTAGCTTTACATGTGACTTGTGGATTGCATGTACTAATCGAGGCTATCTCACTTTGACTGCTCATTATGTTGATAACAGTTGGTCTCTTAGGTCTAAAATTTTAAATTTTAGATATTGTGGCCCTCCCCATATTGGTGTTGAGGTTAGAAAGTTTGTGTTTAAACTGATTAAAGAGTGGAATCTTCAAAGTAAGGCTTTTTCAATAACTGTTGATAAAGCTCGTTCTATGACTGTTATGGTTGAATATTTGAAAAAAGAATTAATGCAATGCTCTCCTCTTCCTTGTAATAGTAAATTCTTTCATGTTCGATGTTCAGCTCATGTTTTAAATCTTATTGTTCAAAGAGGTTTAAAAGAAGTTCATGAAAGTGTTGAAAAATTGCGTGAGGTTGTTAAATATATTGATGCTTCTGATTCTAGATTAACTCAATTTGAGCATGCTTTGACTGAGTTAGACTGTGCTTTTAATGGTAAGTTATGTCTCGATGTTGT